TTTTTTTTTTTTCATGGCTGAGGACCGCGGACACGTCCGCGGGGTCGCAGCCTAGGCCGCGGCCGCGGAGTTGTCCGCGGATGGCCGCCGCCGAGGGGGATTCGTAGCACCTAGGTGCTTGTGGAGAGCAGTGGGGACTGGATGCGAGAAGTGGACACGAGGACACGCTTGAAGGAGAAGGTCCATCACTCGCATGAGAATGTTGAAGTGCTGCTGATGGAATGGCCTTGGTATGGACTCCTACCGATTGGCAATAGCAGAATCAGTAGCAGTACCATACCTTGGCTTCCCTGGAGGGGGCAGAGCGAGAGGGTGAGGGCGTGTTCACAATCTCAATAAATACAGTGTCTACTCCTTCATTGGGACTTCAGCAAAGGGACTACAAGGGGACCGTAACCTGTCATTGGGCCGCTTTGCTGGATGGTTGCTCCAGTGTCCGCCAATCACGGTGTTGGGTTCCACTGTAACTGGTAGCTACAAAGTCCCATGGATATATAATTGAGGCCCGTTCACTGGTTGGGAAAATCGTTTTGAGGCCCACTCGTAGACGGTCTCCTAGTTGCAAAAGGTAATATTTCCCCACTTGGGCAGTCCGAAGAGTTTAGTTCGACTGACCCCTCTTTTTCAAGAATTACCAGGGAAACCAGTCTGAACTGATTGTGTGTGTGTGTGTGTGTGTGTGTGTGTGTGTGTGTGTGTGTGTGTGTGTGTGTGTGTGTGTGTGTTCATGTGCTGATCCTTTTCAGGAGAGGAGCAGGGCGTTTTGGTAGGTTTCTTTATGCGGGGCCCAACTCTTGGATCCATGCTGGTTGCATCGTTTGGGCTGGTGGCGTTGAGCGACTGGAGCATGGAGAACTTGTGCATGTTGCTGAAGCGATTGCTGCAGCCAAGAGGCAGGTGAGATATAATGGATGATCACCACGACTCTTGAAACTTGAGTCTGGTGGGTGGGTTGGCTGAGAGGGTGGAGCATGCCAGCACCATCATTACACACCAGTGTGGCCTCAGTTCTATCTGGTTAGAGTAAGGTAGAAGATTGCAAATACCACTCTCCTCTTCTTGAGGCATGGAATCTTTTTTGAGGAAGGATGCACCACTCCACTTTGACACACTAGCCAGTCACTAACCTCAGCAATTTGCACCTTGTGTCTGTCAATTTGGAAGTGTGCTCCAGTAGATCTTCCATGGGTTTACCTTCATCTTTTAAACTTGCCAACCACCTATTGCTGTCCCTGTTCCTCAACCATCTGTTCCTTAACCTGTTGTTCCTCAACCTGTTCCTCAACCTGTTCCTCAACCTGTTCCTTAACCTGTTTCTAACCTATTCCTCAAGGAACAGGTAAGGAACAGGTAAGGAACAGGTAAGGAACAGGTTGAGCGACAGGTTTAGGAATAGGTTAGTGAATTAATTCTTGATATGGGAGAGCAATCCTAGGAAGTAGTTCCTTAACCTGTTCCTCAGCCACCTGTTCCTTACGCTGTTCGTCAGCAATCTGTTCCTTAACAGGTTGAGGAACAGGTGAGGAACAGGGTAAGGAACAGGGGGTTGAGGAACAGGGGGTTGAGAACAGGTGGCTGAGGAACAGGTTAAGGAAAAGGTGGTTGAGGAACAGGGTAAACAACTTCTTTCTATTATTGCCCTCCGATATCAAGAATCAGTTCACTGACCTGTCCCTCAACATGTTCCTTACCTGTTCCTGAACCTGTTCCTGCACCTGTTCCTAACCTGTTCCTACCCTGTTCCTAACCTGTTCCTCGACCAACCTTCTCCTCAACTTCTCCTCAACCTGTTCCTCAACCTGGTCCTTAACCTGTTACTCAACCACATTCTCCTCTACCTGTTCATCAACCAGTTCCTCAACCCATCGTTAGTGGCAAAAGTAGTAGTGCGGCATTTGCCACACGTTTTTGCTATGTGAATTCCAAGTATATCTGTGTGGTCCATCAGGTTCATAATTCTTTTTGGTATTTAGGATGATAGGATGTACGTAATCATATAACTTTTGTAAGTGTGTCCTTTCTATACTATATACTAGTATAGCCTGTGCATCACTTTGCGTATCCTCCCAAGTTGAAGAAACAAGCTAATAAACTATAGTGTGTATATTGTTTTCGCATCACGTCATCCTCCCAAGCTGGTGAAAGGAGAAGCTCATGAGCTCAGTTTCTGGTGGGGGGCTAGAAGGACGCGCTTTGGTTTGATGAAGAACGAGACTTGTTCGCAAATATGCACGAAAGTGAAGTTGGACTGAATTGTTGAGGTTTCGTTCACCTTCTTCTATCCGGTTTCTTAGAATTTGCAAACCTGTTCAGGGACTGACATGAGCTCAATTCTATTTGTACGAGCGCTTTGTTGGCTCACTACTAGTGGAAATTGAATTTGTTGAGGTTTCATATAACAAAACGGTTTATCAATGTGTGGCCTAGCCCAGTTGGTACAACCATGAACTGTTGAAACGAACACCTGAGTTCAAATCCAGACGGAAGTAAATGAATGAGACACCTGAATAACCTGGAGCCGGTCAGCTCGGTGATGATATCTCAAGGTTGTAGACCTTTAAAAATTGAGAGCGGAAGTAAATGAATGAGACACCTGAATAACCTGGAACCGGTCAGCTCGGTGATGATATCTCAAGGTTGTCGCCCTTTAAACCACCAGTACCTCGCTCACCTATTGGCCGCGGGCCTTCCCGTATAYGYGCCGCAGCCTTAGGGAGGTCGGCCAAGGGAAGGCCCGGTCGCTCCTTCTTGGCCGGAGCCCGGCAACTACGGGGTGTTACTCACGAAAAAAAATAAATTATA